CCCCCAAAAAAAAAGAAAGAAAGGAAACAAAAACAGAAAAAAGAAGAAAAAAAGTACCGTAGGCCTATTTTGTTTTTGTATTTTAGTAAAACTTTAAAAAGTGCAGAATTTTTAAAGTCACTTTATTTCTACGTGCTCAGTAAACATGTTGAATGAAAGCATGGGAGTGAATTTTCATAACCGATGCTGTGGTTCCTGAAACTTGGTGGTGTTTTGCATTCTGCGTGATGACTGATCGTTTTCGATGTTGGTAAATGCAGACAAATAGATCAAAATAAATTGTTTCTTTTTTTCATGGAAAAAAACCCCACACACAATAACAACAAGCAAACAAACAAAAACCGACAGCTACAACTAAACGGTCGTGTTTTGGGGTTGGTTTTTTAAAAAATTTGTTATCCTTTTTGTTGGTTTGTATTCTACCTACGGCTTCTTTTGTTCGAAAACTAAAATCTAGAACTAGCATATCTGTTGTTACAGTGTAATTGCGATACTCCCACCATGTGCACCTAACGCCCTCTTTTGAGTCACCCATCGCTGCATACTTCTAGAAGATCAAAAAAGTCAGTAGTGCACAAACATGCACACGACTGAGGAGGGGAATACAAATATTTTAAAAAGTCATTACTATAGTCAAGGGTAATGGATATAATACGGTTGAAGTGCCTTCTGTTACACTCGCGAACACTGACACACAGACACATCAACACTTTGACTTACAGGCACACAGGCACACAGACACACAGACACATAGACACACAGACTCACATTCTCACAGACACACAAACACACAAATACCTAAACATACATGCACACAAACACACAGACACATTGACATTACACACAGAAACACAGACTCACAGGCATATAGACACAAAGACACACAGGCACATAGACACACAGCCACATATGCACATAGACACACAGACACACAGGCACAAATACATACACACACACACCCACACACAGACACACACTGACACACAGACACATAGACATACAGACTGCGAACGGGGCAAACAGCTGGCGTATCGCTGGTTTGAAAAGGCAGGCGACAGTCCCTGCTTCTTAAGAAAAAACACAACAACAACTGAGCAAAACACTCGGCTTAAATTTGTCTGGGGAGTATTTTTATTTTGTACCGACGTTTGAAGTACACATAATATCATTTGGAAAAAACACAAAAACACACACAAAGAAAAGAAACAAAACAAAAAGGAGGTGCGAAGTACAAAATGTCAATTGAAAAAAAATCCCTCAGAAACTATTCGACCAAGAGGCTCGATGGCGCATTTTGAGTGGTTCTTCAGATCCTCGGTGGTTCTGAATTTTGATACTTTTTTTTCCTTTTAAGTATTAGCCTCACAGGAGTGATTTCCTCCCTTGGTATAACCACTGGTACATCTGCTGTGGCTCGTAATCACGTGATCCCATCCGTTGAAAGAGCTTCCTCGATCCCGTGGATATATGTTGTATTATCGGTAGATTTTCATGCTTCAAAACGGTTCTTTTCGACTTCAACCTCACAACCCTCGGACTCTAATGGTGCTGGTTCTTATATATGAAGTCGAAATTGTCTTAGACAGCCACCTATTGTCGTGGTGACAAGCAGTTGCCTTACACAGGTGAACGTCTTAAACAGTTTAAACAGTTTCAATTATAGTATTGGAAATTGGAAGTGGATCTTTGTACATTGGATCGTCTCGAACAGGTGACCGTTCAATCAGGTTAGTCCGCATTTTGCATTTACTGCAGACTTCCATGTTTCAAAATGACGCTTCGGTTCTCAAATTATATCCAGGACGACACAGCAATTTGACCTATGTCTGTGGGTTTTTTTGGTGGGGAGGAATATTGTTCAGAAGCTCGGTCTTCCTGCTGGGATATTGTGTCCCTCTCAGCCCGGGTTGGCCCTGACAGGCAGGTCAAAGCACTCCTCCTAAATAATCTTAAAATTGTATTGACGTAAAGGAAAAGAAAAACTATAATAATGAGAAAAAAGTAACACCCTCCCCTCTCTCCCCCACCCCATCCTCTTCCTTTCCGGAAAGAAGAAAGGGGGAAAAAAGCAATTTCGCGTTCTTCTCACTTACCATTACGCGACGCTGGATTCTTTTGTTATAGAACTTAATGAGTTCAGGATTTCCCTTGAGCAGACTTCTATTGTTCTTTGTGTGGTGTGATGTGTGTGTGTGTGTGTGTGTGTGTATGTGTGTGTATGTATGTATGTATGTGTGTGTGTGTGTGTGTGTGTGTGTGTGTGTGTGT